CTTGGGGGAGGGAGGGGGAGGCCAGCCCTGCCCCGTGGCAACTGTGGTTGCAGCCTCTCACTTGCCCCATCTTTCTCTCTAGGTTCCCCAGACGGAGGTATTGTTAGGCAGACCTTGGGGGAGGGAGGGGGAGGCCAGCCCTGCCCCGTGGCAACTGTGGTTGCAGCCTCTCACTTGCCCCATCTTTCTCTCTAGGTTCCCCAGACGGAGGTATTGTTAGGCAGACTCTGGAGTCCCCTTAACCTCCAGACCTGGGCCCATTGAACTCTGACCTCCAGGACTTCAAACTTTGTAACCTCCAACCTCTGTGAAGACCAACCTCGGCGGGGGGGGGGCATCCTGTGACCCTCCCCATGTCCCTTTCTCCCTCCAGGAGCCAGCTGGAGCAACCAGAGCCCCCCGGAGACCCCTCCCACTTGGATGCTGCACCTATGCATACGGAGCCCCTGGATTCCCCCTTCATCCCAGGCACCCCCTACTCAGTGCTGGTGCTGCAGGAAGGGTTCAGCCAGGTGCTGCCAAATGGGCATACACAGGCTGACGGCACCATCACACTGGTACGGGGGCCCCAGCTCACTCTGGTGGACACAGGAGGCCCCTGGAGGCGGAAGCGGCTACTGGAACTGCTGGCGGCCCAGGATGTGGCCCCAGGCGACGTGTCCCATGTTGTCTGCACCCATGGCCACTCAGACCATGTTGGCAACATCAACCTGTTCCCCACAGCTACGCTGCTGGTGGGGTTCGACCTCAGCCAGGGTGAGGGGCTGTACCTGCCCCACAATCTGGGGACTGGCACTCCCTACTCCATCCATCCCGGCCACATAGAAGTGGTGCCCACACCTGGCCACACAGCTGCCCACACCAGTGTGCTGGTGCATGGCACAGCCCTGGGCACAGTGCTAGTAGCCGGGGACCTGTTTGAGCGGCAGGACGACGAGGATGCTTGGCGGGCACTGAGCGAAGATCCAGCCCGGCAGGAGCGGAGCCGATCCCTGGCCTGGGGCCACCCTTCAGTGTGCTGCGGGTGCACAGCAGCACCAAGGAGGACCAGACACCCCTGGGGATGGGGAGAGAGACCATGAGGCCTGAGACCTATGTAGGACAAGGCATGTCCGTGCCCCCCGAGACTTTGAGCTGCAATTAAACACCTTGGTCTCCCCCAGTGTGGCCTCTTATTCTTGGAGGATTTTTCCCAGGGACATGCTCCTTCTTCAGATCTGCCTGCCCCTTGCTCCTGTGGCCTCTGCACCCCAAAACAGGAAAGTGAGAAGCCAGGTACCCCCCCAGATGGTATCAGCCCCCAAACTCCTACAGCTCCCAGGGGCAGAGCTGCAGCATAGGCTGAGGGGGCAGCTGTGTGACCTGGTGTTTATCTCACATGCAGGCCGAGCCCTTTTATAGTTTAATTGCCCTGTTTGTGGCACAGGGAAGTTGGCCACTTGCCCAGCAGCCAAAGATAATAGGGGACTAAACCCCATTACACAGAGCCCTCTGCCGTCCTGCCCCAGAGATGCTGGCTTTTGAGTCTAGCTCTGGGGTACCTGTTGATCGGGCTCTGCCCATAGTATATGTGTCATGCCTGATAGGGTCGATCAATAGGCCCAGTTGTTAATGACGCTTGTGAGGATTTATGCCCAAGGACACGGGAACCTGGCACGGCCTGGCACCACCGCTGACACCTTCATAACACATGCTGCACAGTACAGAGCTGGGGGCTCCACTGGGAGTCAGGACATCTGGCTTCTCTCCCCAGCTCTGCCCCGCCAAGCCTGGCACCGCACATGACCCTACAGTAGCAACCTCCACCTGAGGGACCCACTGCTAAGCCCCCCCAGCCGCATTTGTTCCAGGTTCACACCAGGCACCTGGGAGCAAACTCCAGTGGGTGTGGTAGGGGTGGAGCTGCCCAGTGACCCCCGTATAAGCAGCAGGCTGCGCCAGGTCCCACAGTAGACGTGATGTGCACAGGGAAGTGCTCCCGAGTGGTGGGCGTGGGGCTCTGGCCCCTGGCACTGACCTGCATTGTCTGCAATCTGATCCTCTGCTTCCCCGCCTGGGACCTGCAGTATGTCCAGCAGCGGGACCAGCTCACCCCCGAAGTGCTGTACCTGGGGGGCCTCGTCGGGGGTGGCCTCTTGGTGAGCTGGGGGACAAGGAGGAGGGATAGCTTGGCAAGGGGGCACCAGATTGGGGCTGGGCCAGTAGGGATTATGGGTCAGGAGTGAGGGGCACCAGTAGGGCTGCAGGGGAGCCCCAAACTAGGAAAGTAGAGGGGCTGCAGGTTGGGAGTGAGGGGCACCAGCAGGGCTGGGGGGAGCTCAGGGCTGGGCTGGGGGTTGGAAGTGAGGGGCATAGGCAGGACTAAGGAGAGGCTGGGGGTAGGGGCTGCATCCTACCACTGATTCTCTCTCTCCCCAAGGAGTGAGGGGCACCAGTAGGGCTGCAGGGGAGCCCCAAACTAGGAAAGTAGAGGGGCTGCAGGTTGGGAGTGAGGGGCACCAGCAGGGCTGGGGGGAGCTCAGGGCTGGGCTGGGGGTTGGAAGTGAGGGGCATAGGCAGGACTAAGGAGAGGCTGGGGGTAGGGGCTGCATCCTACCACTGATTCTCTCTCTCCCCAGATCCTGATACCTGCGATTCACATCCAGGCGACTGGCCGGCAGGGCTGCTGTGGCAATCGCTGTGGGGTGAGCCCCCCCCCCAGCTCTTGCTCCAAGCAAGCCCCACACTGCCCCCAACCCCTCACCTCCATGGGGAGCTGAGCCCCCCTGATCCCTGCGATTCACACCCAGGCGACTGGCCGGCAGGGCTGCTGTGGCAATGGCTGGGGGGTGAGCCCCCCCCCCAGCTCTTGCTCCAAGCAAGCCCCACACTGCCCCCAACCCCTCACCTCCATGGGGAGCTGAGCCCCTCCCCAACAGGGGCTGTGCTCCTACACACCTCCAGTGAACCTCCCAGCACCCTTGGCACCAGTGGGGTCCCCTTCCCCTCTGATCCATGGCACTAGAAGGGTCTCCATGGGATCCCCCACTAACAGGGTCTCCCCCCCCCCAGATGTTCCTGTCCATTCTCTTTGCTCTGCTGGGGGTGGTTGGCTCAGTCTACGCCGTGAGTGTTGCCTCCTTGGGGCTGGTGAACGGGCCCCTGTGCCAGGTGCGGAAGTCGAATGGGAGCCTGGGCGCCTGGGAACAGCCCTTCCGTAGCCTCGACCTCGAGCAGTTGAGGTGCGCGCCACAGCGGTATAATGTGGCCTTCAGGTCGGGAGTGAGGGGCACTGGCAGGGCGGGGGGAGCCCAGAGTTTGGTTGGGAGGGCTGGAATGGGCTGGCAGGGGCTGTAAGTTGGAAGGGCAGGGGTGGGGCTGTAAGTTGGGATGGTGGGTCTGGGGGGGAAGTGAAGAGGGGGGGGCTGGTAGGGGCTGTAGGTTAGGAGGGTGAGGCTGGGGGGAATGCAACTGGTTGATAGTGCTAATTGATAAGCTCCTGCTTATCTGTTAGTCAACTAGTCACTTATATCGCTAGTCCACATACGATTTCAAGTACTTCAAGAAACACCAGCCATGAGGTTCAGTTTAAAATATAGAAAAATACAATGCATACTGAAGACAGTACATACGTATTTCTTCTCAACAAAGTGTGCTTCAATCCCACCCCTTCTGAGGAATGAAGGTGTAAAAGAATTTGGAAACAAGGGGGAGTGAGGGGTGGGGGTGGGGGGTTGTAGGTTAGGAGGGAGGGGCTGTAGGTGGGGGACACCAGTGTGGCCTGGCGCTGGGCAGTTCCTTGCTGTGCCCACAGGGAGCGGAGCTACTTGTTTAACACCTCGACGTGGGACACATGCGTGAAGCCGCCTGGCGTGGTCCAGTTCAATGTGATTCTCTTCTCGCTGGGGCTGGGGGCGGCGCTGCTGGAGCTGCTGCTCTGCGCAGCCCAGGTGCTGAACGGCCTCTTCGGTTGCCTCTGTGGGACGTGCAACAGGAGGCAGGACCGGAGCGCCAAGGTGCGGCCCGGCCCAGGCCCGCAACCGGGTTCCTTTCCCAACCCACCCTACCCCACCCCATTGCCAGCTGCGTCCCCGCGTCAGGCAATGGGCCGGGCATGAAGAGGCACCAGGCAGAATTGACCCTTGTTCCCTTTTTCAGGAAACCCGCTACTGAGTCACGCCAGGGGAGCAGAGACCCAGGAGTGTGGGATCACCGCGACCTGCGAAACTGTGGGGAGGGGGAAATGTAAAGGGCAGCCCTACCCCGACAGTCTGTGCCCTGGCTGCACCCAATAAAGCCCAGGGCCCAGAAGCCGACGCCCCCGATGGCGGGGCTGTGAATTGCGGCCTCTGCTCTGCACAAACTTCACGTGTCTGATTGTGTCAATAGTGAGCCGTAGTGGGGGAGGAGGCTGGGGCCTCCTGAAATGCATGAGTCACAACTCCTGCTGTTGTGCCCAGCCGGTGCCCCTCACTCCCGTCCTGCAGCCCTTGCCTGCCCAGCCCTGGGCTCTCCAGATCCAGCTCTGCCCTCACTCCTGATCCGCAGGCCCTGCCAGCCCAGCCCTGGGCTTCTCCCACGCTGCTGGTGCCCCTCGCTCTTGACCTGCAATCCCTGCACCCCCAGCTCCTTGCCAGCCTAGTCCTGGGCTCCTCCCAGCTCTGCCAGTACCTTTCACTCCTGCCCTGCAGCCCCTGCCAGTCTTGCCCTGAGCTCCCCAAGCCCATCACTCCCAACCCGCAGCCCCTGCCAGTCCAGCCCTGGGCTCCCCCTGCCTTGCTGGTGCCCCTCACTCCTGACCTGCAGCATCTGCCCCTCCCCAGCCCTGCTGGTGCCCCTTCCTCAGCTTCCAACACACAGCCCCTGCTAGCCCAGTCCCCCCCCCTCCCCCCGACCTGGGGCAGGAAGTCAGGCTGATGAGCTGTTTGCTGCTGTGGTCTGGGCACTTGCTGACACTGCAGGGAAGGGGCGGAAACATCTCTCTGCCTGGAGTCCCCAGGGTATCACAGCTGCCAGAGGCTCCCCCGGAGGATAGGTAAATTGTCCTCATGCCACCCTGCAGAGGAGGGCTCTGTCTATGTGGTCTCTCAGCCCTACTGCTCTGCGCTAGGGCAGAGAGCGGGTGTGGGATGGTTTGGTAGTTGGGACAGGAAGTGATGAACCTGGAACTAGGCTGAGATCTAGCAAACTCATTGCTTACATAGAGCTCTGAGGGCCACACTGGGGTCAGCAGCACTTCCCTTCTCTGTCCCTAGCCAGCCAGGTGGGCAGGGACAGGTTCCATGACCCTTGGGGAGGAGGGACTCAGCCCAATGACTTTAGCAGCTCTCACAGGAGACCATTTTATCTGCTGAGCTCAATACAAAATAGCAGCAGGAAGTTCCCCAGATACAGGCTAGATTGTGATATCAACCAACAAGTTCCTCCTCCCTCCCCCCCCAGGAGAGAGCCCAGGAGTCCTGGCTCCTCTCTCGATCTAGAGCTGGGAGAGAGCCCTGGCTCCCTGCTCTACCCCCCCAGCAGGGAGAGAAGCCAGAACCTGCTCTAACCAATTTGTAACAGTCTCTCCTGATCTGTGTCAGCTGGCTCTCCTTCTCCTGTAATCGCCCCTGTGGGTAATGTCCTTGGGGGGGGGGGGGGGGAGAGCTGTGAAGGGCAAACCTCCAGGTGAGGTGCTTTAAGCTAGACTGAAGGCAGGCTCTGCAGAGGGACTATTTTAGGGTGGGGCTGGCTCTAACTCTCTTCTTATCCCCAGCTCCTGTTGCCCAGAGCTGTGCCATGGCTGAGGACATGGAAGGCATCAGCACCCCACTTCTGCTAGGCACCCAGGCATCCCCTGTACATCCTGTGCTAAGCTGTAAGTGCTGGGAGCCCCCCCAATCCTCTATTCTGTGCCTGCATCTAATCCTGCCTCTCTCTTCCAGTTCTGGGGAAGGTCGTGTTCTCGGCTCTGCCCATTGCTAGCATTGTCATTGGTGAGTGGTAGCTTTGCGCGTGTGGGGGTGGGTGCTGGCCAGGATGCATGCATGCCCCCTCAGTCCTTCAGGGTGGCCCCAGAGTGCCCCCTAATCTTCTGGGGCAGCCCCAGTATGCATGTTCTCTCCTCCCAGCCCCCTAGGGTAGCCCTGATATGCATGCATGTGTGTGCGCTTCCCCAGCCCGGCAAGCGCTCTCCCTCTCCTCCCCATCCCCCAAGGCAGCCTGGACCTGACACCCATCTCCCCTGCAGGAGCCATGTACCTGGGCCAGTGCCCCCGGCAGGCCCTGCTGCCCTACTACCTGCTGGTGGGGGGCAGGGCGCTGCTGCTGCTGCTGCTGCTGACCTGCCTGCCCTGTGGGGATGGGACAGAATCAGCCCAGCTGAGCCCGGGTGCCCGTGGCTGGAGGGCGGTATTCCTGCTCTTCCTCTTTGCCTGGTTCATTGCTGGTGAGTGCTCCCATCTGCCCTGTGCCTCCTGCCGGGATGCCCAGTTGTGATGCCAGGGCACTGCATGTGCCCACCTGCCCTGCTACCCCTGCCTCTTTGCCTGAGTGTAATGCCAGGGGAACCAACCTCTACTGGACTGCCTGGCTGTAATCCCAGAGCTCTAGGGCCAGCCTATACCTGCCTTCTAACAGGGAAATAGGAGTGGTGGTGACTGAGGTGGGTCCCTGATGTTTGTGCCCCTTCTTGGGTGGGCCCTCTTCCCCCAGCTGGGTTTGCTTCTGCCTGACCTAGTAAATATACCCTTACTGGGTTTGGCCCCCTCCCCAGTCACCCTTGATCTCTGACCTCCCATCTCCTCCCACCAGGTAACGTCTGGGTCTACTCAATCTACCCCCTGCAGCACGGGAACCCTGGCCAGCCGGACTTCTGCGCACGCCTGCTCTACCTCTTTGCCTTCTGGGTCACCACGCTGGTGTACATAGGGCTTGGGGCTGCGCTGCTGGTTGCACTCTGCATCGTGGGCTGCCTGCTGCTGCTGCGCTCACGCCTGCCCTGGCTACACCGTGGGGAGGCCGACCCCTAGGAGGGACATGGGTTAATAAAGGCTTGACACCAGTGGACAATTTGAGTCTTGTGTACCCCCCATCGTCCCAGCCACCACTGCCCCTGGCTGCACTGGGGGGAGGTACTGACCCCTGAGGGAGTAGGGGCAGAGGGGTTAATAAAGGTGTGACACCCACAGGACATCATTCACCTGCTGGGTATCTCCCCAGCTCATAGAGCTGGAAGAGACCTCAGGAGGTCCTCAAGCCCTGCCCAAAGCAGGACCAATCCCAACTAAATCAACCCAGCCAGGGCTTTGTCGAGCTGAGACTTAAACACCTCTAGGGTTGGAGATTCCACCCTCTCCCGAGGGAACCCATCCCAGTGCTTCACCCCCCCCTCCTGGTGAAATAGTTTTTCCTAATATCCAACGTGGACCTCTCCCACTGTAACTTGAAACCATTGATCCTTGTTCTGTCATCCGTCACTACTGTGAACAGCCTCTCTCCTTCCTCTTTGGAACCTCCTTTCTTCTTCTGCAGACTAAACAAACCCAAATCCCTCAGCCTCTCCTTATAGGTCGTATGCTCCAGCCCCCTAATCATTTTGGTCACGCTCTGCTGGACCCTCTCCAATATGTTCACATCCTTTTTGTAGTTGGGGGCCCAGAATTGGACACAATACTCCAGATGTGGCCTCACCAGAGCTGAATAAAGGGGAATAATCACTGGCATTGCTGCTAATGTTCCTCTTAATGCAACCTAATATGCCATTAGCCTTCTTGGCTACAAGGACGTGCTGTTGACTCATATCCAGCTTCTCATCCACTGTAATCCTCAGGTCCTTTTCTGCAGAACTGCTACTTAGCCATTTGGTCCCCAGCCAGTAACAATGCTTGAGATTCTTCTGTCCCAAGTGCAGGACTCTACACTTGTCCTTGTTGAACCTCATCAGATTTCTTGTGGCCCAATCCTCCAATTTTTCTAGATCACTCTGGACCCTATCGCTGCCTGCCAGCATATCTACTTCTCCCCCTAGCTTAGTGTCATCTGCAAACTTGCTGAGGGTGCAATCCATCCCCTCATCCAGGTCGTTAATAAAAATGTTGAACAAAACTGGTCCCAGAACTGATCCTTGGGGCACTTGCTAGAAACAGATGGCTAACCTGACATTGAGCTGTTGATCACTACCTCCTGGGCCTGACCTTTCAGCCAGCTTTCTATTCATCTTACAGTCCAATTATAGAATCCAATCTATATTCTCTTAACTTGCTGGCAAGAATATTGTGGGAGACCATATCAAAAGCATTCCTAAAGTCAAGATATATCACATCCACCATCTTTCCCATATCCACAGAGCCGGTTATCTCATCATAGAAGCTTATCAGATTGGTCAGACATGATTTGCCCTTTGTCAATCCCTGCTGACTATTCCTGATCATTTTCCCCTCTTCCAAGTGCCTCAAAATGGATTCCTTGAGGATTCCCTCCATGATTTTTCTAGGGACTGAGGTAAGACTGACTGGTCTGTAGTTCCCTGCATCATCCTTCTTCCCTCTTTTAAAGATGGGCCTCCTGACAGCTAGGGAGGACAGGGAGGTTAATAAAGGCTTATCAGCCAGTGGGCAAGTGATGTCTTCCCTGTGCACACCCCCCTTCCCAAATCTGCTGCTCTGGCAGCACCAAGGAAGCACTGACTGCTGGGGCAATGGGCAGGGATGCTATTTCAGATTTGGAGGGGGGGAGAGCTGTGCACAGCAGGATGGGGGTGGTGG